AATGCCCAGGAATCAAATCGACTATACATGTATGGAAAGAGACGATGGAAAAGCTCACTATCATCAGTCAAAACGAGGCCAGAGGCCAACTGTGGATCAGGCCATCAATTGCTCAGCAAGTCCAAGCTGAAGCTGAAGAGAACAAAAACAAGTTCATGAGAGCCGACGTACAACCTTCAGTATATCCCACCTGAATTTAGAGAACATCTGAAGTACAGATTTGCCGCATTGAATGCTAACAAGTGAAGACCAAATGAGCTGTGGGATGACATCAAGGACATCACATGAAGAAAAGAAAAGGTCATTAAAAAGAAAGAAAAGAACAAAATGGATGTCAGAGAGACTCTGAAACTTGCTCTTGATTGTAGAGTATCTAAAGTGAAAGGAAGAAATGATGAAGTAAGAGTGCTGAAGAGAAGACCGTAAAGGGCAGCTTGAGAAGACAAAGTAAAGTATCATGACAAAATATGCAAAAATCTGGAGTTAGGAAACCAAATAGGGCAGAACACTCTTGGCATTTCCCAAGCTGAAAGAACCGAAAAAAATATTCAAGCCTCAAGTTACAATGCTGAAAGATTCTATGGACAAAATATTGAATGACATTGGAGATATCAAAAGAAGGCAGGAAGAATACACAGAGTCACTGCAGCAAAAGAACTGGTCGATGACCATCCATTTCAGGAGATATTATACACAATCAAGAACCAGCGATACTGAAGGAAGAAGTCCAAGCTGCACTAAAGGCATTGGCAACAAGCAAGTCTCCAGGAACTGATGGAATACCCATTGGGATGCTTCACAAATGAAGGCAATGCTTGAAGCACTCAGTAGTCTATGTTGAGAAATTTGAAAGACAGCTACCTGGCCATCCTACTGGACGAGATCTAAAACCATGCCCAACCCAAAGAAAAGTGGTCCAACAGAATGCAGAAATCACTAAATAATAACATGAATATCACACACATGTAAAATTTTGCTGACTAACTCACTGCCATCGAGTCAGAGCCAACTCATAGCGACCCCTCCTTGGGTTTCTGAGGCAGTATCACTATGGAAGTAGATTGCCCAACCTTCCTTCCGAGGAGTGGCTGGTGGGTTTGAACTGCCAGCCTTCTGGTTAGCAGTCAAATGCCTTAGGCACTGTGCCACCAGAGGATAATTCAAAAATGGTTGCAGCAGTGCATCTAACAGGGAACTACCAGAAATTCAAACCAGACTCCAAAGAGGATATGGAATGAGGGATATCCTTGCTGACGTCAGATGGATCTTCACTGAAAGAAGAGAACAGCAGAAAGATGTTTGTCTGTGTTTTATTGACTATGCAAAGGCCTTTGATTGTGTGGATCATAAAATATTATGGATAATATCATGAAGAATGGGAATTACAAAACAGTAAATTGTGCTCATGAGGAACTACATAGGCTGTCATTTTAACAGAAAAAGGGATAACGCATGGTTTAAAATCAAGAAAAGTGTGCATTAGGGTTGTATCCTTTCATCATACTTATTTAATCTGTAAGCTGAGCCAATAAAGTGAGATGCTAGATTATATGAAGAACACAGCATCAGGATTGGAAGAAGACTCATTAACAACCTGCAATATGCAGGTAACACAACTTTGCTTGCTGAAATGGAAGAGATTTGAAGCACTTACTGATGAGGATAAAAAAAA